GGCTTGTCCTGATTACAGACAGAAATTAGCAACAGAATGCCTATTTTGCTTTTTCTCTTTTTACAATCATTTTACCAAGTAAGTCTTGAATGGATCTGTAGTTCTGTATGGACCTTTGATCTAAATGAATTGCTTCACATGCTTCGTTGGCCAAGACATCCTTTTGATTGACCTCAGCACCTCACTGAATCAGTTCTCTTGCCCTCCAACAACGAGTTTACTCAAAATGCCCAGAGCAATGGCGCTCAAGCAGGTGGCTTTTCTGCCTAGCCTAGAATGTGGTTCTTTTTTCATGTATGAATAGGGTATCATGAGAGGTCCTAATGAAGATGGCAATTACTATGTTTTTTAAAGATACAGAAACTGAAACACAACCCCTCAGAAAACACACAGATGGAGGGGTGGAATCCACATTTACTCTGTGATAGAATTTCTTTCTGATATACTCATTACATATACATTTGTATATTGTGGGCCTGAACCTGGGCACCTCCTAATAGATGGGGAGCATGCACAATCTCCACTGACTCCTTGCAAGACTGGGCGGTGTATGATGTGTAATTATTTTGGGGACTTTCTGAAGTCACTGGGAGCTTTTCGCTCACAAGGAATGAAGAGTTGGGCCCTTTGTTTAATGAACTAGTGACTCTTCACCTGTTAAAAGTTGAGAGTCATTGGTCTACACTAAAAAGAAATGGGGAAAAATGTCTGTCCTGTCCCTTTTTGTTCTTCAGAATGAATTCTAATTACAGTAATAAGGCACCAAGCGGTCACTGAGTTTTACATATTTTTAGAAAGAATGCAGGGATCACCTAGTAGGGGAATTGTATTTTTACAGTCACTCGTCTTCTGTCTCTCACACATGCATGCACATGGACACTCCTACACATTTCAGCCCTTCTTTAATTTTCTGTTTAAAGAAGAAAAGTGTACATCATCATAACTACTCGGAATCACAGCACTCCGCTGCTGAAGGGGCACAACTGGCAAGGAGGTGCCATGGGAAAACCACGTATGTCCCTAAGACGGGATCTGAATAGGATTGTATAGCACCCAAAATGATATAAAGCATGAGGTACCCCTCAGTGGTTAGGTATTATTTATTTGTATTATGGTAGCACCTAGAGACTCCAAGCCCATTGTGCTAGGTGCTGTACAAACTACAAGACCTAAGTAATCTGAGTTTGTCTACATGGGAAGTTATTCTGGAAAAGATATTCCTGATTAATGCCATATGTGGTTGCTCTTATTCTGGAATTCCACTGATTAAGATAATTCAGAATAAGGTGCTTTAATTCTGAAATAAGAGCATCTATATGTGGTGTTAATCGGGAATAGCTAATCCATTTTAAATTCACACTGTATCTTATTCTGGATTAATTTTCATGTGTAGGGAAGCCCTAACTAAATTATAATGAATGTAGGGCACTGCTTAGAACTTCTCTCCCCTCCTCCTCCTTCCTTTTATCTCCCTTCCCATCCTATTCAACATCCCTCACCCCAGGGAAAAAGCCTAAGAAAGCAGATGAACCCTGCAGCTTTTCTTGTAGGTCATTAGATCTGGATTATATCAACCCAAAGGGTGGGAAATGATTTCTAGGGCACCTGTGCTTCCCAGGGGTCTATGAACTCAAGCATTTTGGCTGATCTCAACTGTCATAGTATTTTACGAGGGGAGGAGCAGTGTCTCAGATAATTAGTCCCACAGCACCTAGTTCTTTGTAGAGCAAAACCCATACCTTAAACTCCCCTAGAAATAATTTGGTGGTCAATGCAAATCATGGAGCATAGGTGTAATACAAGCCCCATTTAGAGTGCACTGCTTTAATCCAGACTTGAAGTGACAAAAGGCATGGTTAACTGACAAAATCCAGGTCTGAAATGAAAAGTTTTAAGCGTTTTGCCAAATGCAAATGATTAGAAGCACTCTGGTCCAGTCAGGATTCCTTGTGGGGCTCTGTCTCTCTGTGAAAGGGTGCATCATGCACTTCTCCTGTGCCCGGAAAACTCCCCAGACTGGTGTTTGGGGGAGGCATTGCCCCATTTTCCTCCTATCCCTCCTTAGTGCACAGGTGCTCACCTGGGATAGTGTCTCTGCTATGTATTTGCTGGCTGGCCCCTCCGCAAAAGCCTCACTCTTCCCCACCCCCTTGGGCACCAGTGCGAGGCCAGTCACACTGTGGCCCTAAGGATGGAGAAGAAGGAGGTAGAGTGATATAATGATCATAACTAGGATTACTGGGCAAAAAGTGAAATAGATAACATTTTCTCTTAATGTTAAGAAGCACTTCCTTGAAGTGATCTCTGGCTGTAGAATAATCTTGCAAAGGGAGTGATGGATACTTCATCTCTTTGGACATTTAAAAGTAGGTTAGAAGATGTATTGGAGAGAAAAACCTGGCACTGGGAGAAAGATAGGCGTGGTCTACAGCAGAAAGTTGCACTGGTTTAATTTAAACCAGTTTTTAAACTGATATCAAACTACTCTACCTCGATATAACGCTGTCCTTGGGAGCCAAAAAAATCTTACTGCGTTATGGGTGAAACCGCGTTATATCAAACTTGCTTTGATCCGCCGGAGTGCGCAGCCCCGCCCACCCCCCACCCCCGGAGCACTGCTTTACCGTGTTATATCCGAATTCGTGTTATATCGGGTCACGTTTTATCGGGGTAGAGGTGTAGTTCAAAAGTGTGGGCAGCTTTAGTTCAGTTTAAGAGTGGCTTAGTTTGGTTTGGTTTAAACCCATTCCTAATTGACAGAAACTAAACCACACAAAGCCATTCTTGCACTGAAATAAGAGCCTCTACGCAGGTGTTTGCATTGGTTTAACTAAATTGGTTTAAAATCACACTTTAAATTAAATCAGTTCAGCCTTCTCATGTAGCTACACCTATGGACTAGATGATAGTCTAATAGGTATTTTCCATCACCACTTTATATGATTCTTGCTGAAGGAACTATCATAAAATAGCATGAACATCAGCAGGGATGCTGGGTCTTAGAGCACAAGTAAACATGAAGTGAAGAATAAATGTTCCACACAAAATACAAGTTGAGACTTTTTAAAAAGCCTCTTTTTTTCATTTACCTGTGCTCCCAAGAATGTAGTAATATACCTGGGACATTATAGGCCAGATCTTGAAAAATGCTTATGTACCCATCTTGGACACTGCCACCCCCAATTCATGTGTGCAAACTGCCATGTCTGTGTGAGTGCAAGCACACATTCCTCCACAACTTGTGTGCACACCATGTTTTTCACTCATGTCAGGCATGCACAAAATTGTGCACACAGACTTAAGATGACTCCTGTGTTGTAAATGGAAATACTTGACCTTTTCGGCATTACATTATAAAATAATTGGTGTGACTGTTCTCTCCTTTTTTCTTTTCCTTTCCCTCTTCAATTCATCTCACACTACAGGCTCTTCCCTTTCTCTATCCTTTTTTCTTTATTCAACTTTCTGACTCTTCTTCCTCTATGTCTTTGAATTATAGTCTCTGGCATTGACCCTGCAGAATGAAGAGGTTAGCTGGCCTCTTACTTTTCACTGCCGCTCTGTTCTGCAGATGGTTCTGTTTCACCTTGTGCACTATATAGCGAAAAATTTCAAAATCCCCATATACATTTTTTTTTAGCAACTGAAAAAGAAACTGCCTGTGATATTCCCTACTGTTCTTCTGGCTGAACACATGTTATTTTACAGTGTGATGCTCGTAGAATAATACGTCAACTGAATGGGGCAAAGCTCATGACTTTTCCTAAGATTCTTTTATTATTTTTTCTCATCAGGTGGATTGTGGTTGACCATTTATTCCAGTCCCACATAAATGATTGTTTCTGACCTCTTGGTGCATTAGCGTGTAATTATTCCATTATGGTATCCAGCTTTCTAAGCATTCCCAATTTTTTTTTTTGAGGGGGAGAGCAGAGGCGGTATTTATTTTATTTTAGACCTCTGATTCATTTGTCCATTTCATGTAAACAGCACAGGCTGATTTTATCATAATTATGACTTACATTTGGAAATGGTGACATTCTAATATAAATCAAAGTTTGTTTATGCATGGCTTCTCTTTACTTTCTGTAGTTAATTGACAGAATGTATCCTTTGGGTAGTATTGCTTGATTTTAAATGAAATACCTTTTTGTCCTAAACCATGCAAGTCTTTGCACCCCCAAAACTCCAACTGATTTCAGTGGGAGTTTAGGGAGAGCAAGAATTGTAGGATAGGACTTTCATGTCATATGTTTGTTTTGAATTAAGCCTGCATTCTACTTAATCTGTAATATTTACAATGAAGGAGGAAGGGGACAGAAGAAATAAATCATAAACACATATATTAGGATAAAAACATACAAGGAACATAAACTATGATACCACAGGGCATAAACCAACCATTACAAGACAAGCAGAGAGCTACTGTACAAGATTGTAGAGAACAATGTAGCACTAACTGGCCGGGGTTGGGAATAAAATTAGCTTATGGGAAGGTTATTTAGAAATTGTTCATTATGGGGATTCTTACGCGTTTTTCAGAAGTATCTGGTACTGGTCACTACTGGGGACAAAATACTGGACTAGATGGACCACAGATCTCATCTAGTATGGCAATTCCTATGTTCCTATAGCAGACCAGAAATTGTGTTTTTTATTTACAGCATTTTTATTTATTTGCTATTCATCTTTAATTTTTTATACTAGCACTTTTGTTATGCAAACTTGATTGACTGCATCACCAGAAAAATAATATTTTTTTAATTCTCTGAGTTTTAGGGCAAAAACAAACATCTTTTTAAATTCTTAACTCTGTAAGAAACAAAAATATGCATATGCATGAATGTCAAACAATGTTTAATAATTAGTTAACTTTCTATTTGGGATAGATAGAAATTAATTCTTGGTTTTGATTTATAGAGCAAAAGCTGGAAGCTATTACAGAGAAATGTAGCATCTCAGAATGGCTGCACTTGAACAATGACAATGTTTTCTTTTAGGAAAGTTCAAAGAGAAGGCCTCAATTCTTCATAAAATTGCCAAAAAGAAGTGCCAGGTGGAAGACAGTGAAAGACGGAATGGGGCTGCTAATCATGCTGGTAAGAATAAGAGTACAGAATTATTTCTTATTGTTTGGGGTATATTTGCTATGTGTTACTTTACTTACCCAAGAAAATAAATAAACCTACATTTTTTCAGACTTGAGTGCCCTCTAAATCCATATCTGGACTCCCAAATGGGAACCTGATTTTCAGAGATGCTTAGCACCTGCAACTCCAAATGGGTTGGATTGGTATAATTGAGTGAAAAATTTGGCTCATAGTTTGCCCAATGGACTATTTCATACAGTGGGTCAGATTCAAGCTGTACAAGTGTAAATGCAGAATAACTCCAGTGACATTACAAGATTTACTCTGGATTTTGACCCATTCATTTCTGGTAGGCCATTAGAGTCAGTCATTTGAGCCAAACAGGGCTAAATTTTCCTCTCTCATCCATGTATTCTATTCGGACTCCCTAAAAATTGTGCATGAAACCCCCATAGACATGAATGGGAGTTCTGTGCATGAAGAGAAAACAGAATAAAACATCCAGAGAGCTGTTGTGCAAGGTTGGAAAGAAGAATGTGCACTAATTTTGGAAATGTTCTAAAGTAAGATTGATAAAAATATGGAGACAAATTCTATCCTCAGTTATGTCCCTGGAACCCCATTGACTTCACTGATGTTTGGCAGGTGAAAGTAAGGGCCAAATTTTCACTGTGATGCTTTATTTATTTATAATATTACCAGGCCATTTGACTCTGGTATTGGGTTCTCTCTGCATGTGGAGAATACTCACTGAGATCCACCAGGTGTGCAGTTTGGACACTTACGTACATTTTCCATACACCTGAAATAAATGTGCATTTTATGTGGGTCATGTATCTCCACACTTGCAAGGAGAAGAGAAGAGAATATAGGATTTGAGATCTACCCTGTGGATCTAAGAGCAAAAATGTTGCCCTTAGAGAGGTATTATGATTGTTGCTGCAAGCCACGTGGTCTGTCAGAGGAAAATCCTGCCTATCTTGCATTGGCACGCAAACCTTGATAGCAATGTTCTGTTGTGCAAGGGGGAGACTGCAATGAGGGGGTCATACTAGCCTGCTGCAAGGTATCTTTCTGATGGGGAAAGGATTGGGGCTGGGCCCTAGGAGGAGCAGGCTTGCAGTCGGTAGGTTTGTACGCACGGCTGATCCACTAGCCAAAAGGTTTGTGGACTAGTTGTCTAGTGGGTACTGTTACTTGCAGTCTGCAATAGCAGCCACAGAGTTGCTGCACAGCTTCTCTGTAGCCTGACTATGAATTGGAAAAAATTCATGCTTCGCAGCGCCGTATATACCACCTACACAAACCCCATTTACTCTGTTTTTTTTTTACAAAAAGAATATTCAGCTCAAAACTTATACATTGTTAAAACAACAACAACAACTTAAGTCACCTTCATGTTTCTTTTAGCCACTGCTTTACCACTTAATGTTCATTGCAGTGGAAAAAAACAAAAAAACTGTCAAATGAATCTGGTAAAAACTGAATCAGTTTGACACTTGCCATGACCTTACTCTATATCTAGATGCACTTTGACACTGAGTCAAGCAATTGGATGGAATACTTTGTTAATATAGCATAATGCTGAGAAAAATAGCCCACAAGCAGTTAAATAATCTCAGATATACTGCACTTTGCACTGCTGCTGTGATCTCAGATTTTAATTCAGGACGAATCTGAGTGCAGCAGTAATGCAACCACACAGCTATATTTACTTCTTTGTACAGCAACATCAGATAAAATACGTCTTATTGTGTCAGCTGTTGTTAGAGGCACTTCCTCATGACTTCTGATTGTTCAAGGATTTCTGGACATTACTATCTTTATCTAATAATAACAGCTGAAATTTTGACATGCCTATTGTTTAGAAGATTCCTTGAATGATCATAGGGAAAGGAATTGCATTACACAAAAATAAACGGTTCACTAGTAACACTCGATAATTCAAATAGACTGAAATATGAGTGCAGTGTTTTATCTGTTCTTTCTTCTGTTTTTTTCATTTATGGATGATGTTACAGAAAAAATTGAACTCCCAAATACTACAAAAGTGGAAGTTGAAGTAACACCACCAAATGATGGTTCAGGACCAGTGCAAAATGGAAACATTGCCCATGGAATTGAAGAGGTTACTGCCTTTTATTTTCTCTCTCTCTCTCTTTCTCTTTACCCTGATAAACATATTCCTGCCTGTTTTTACTATTTTGGAAAGCTAGTGAGTTGGCTTTTACCAAGTAGGATCTTGCTGTTTCATGCTCTTAGACCTGAAGCTACAGCTTAAGGCACTATGGAGAGAGAAAACCTCGTAAAAAGCCATTCTTGGCACTGAAGTTCATACCGTGGTTTACTTTAAGTTTAAACTATGCAGACAAATTCTTAGCATTTTCCTTAGGTAAGTTCTAGCAAAAGTTGCTCCACATTGGGAAACTGCAGGGAAATGCTATCCCTGTTGTTACCTTAAATCTCTACTTTTCAGCACTACTTTGCTACTGCTTCCCACCCTAGACACCTCAGACTCATTCTGGCAGCTGGTTTGCACATTTCTATAAAGTAGTCACACTGAAACTTAAATTCCTTGAAATTTGAAAGCATTTTCCATTCTCTTACAAATATGAAAAGTCTTATTTTTACAAAAAATATTAATTAAAATTTGAACATGGACCATTTTGAGAGAGAGTGGCCTATTTTCAAGCAACAATTATCTCTGCAGTTATAAGAGATAAGATACAGTTCACAATTGCAGTATGAAAATAGTGATGTTGATTAAAAGTAAAATGTCAGGGTAAAAAAATATCCTTAATAAATGTTTTAACTACTTTAGCACAGCTCAAGAGTTTATTTTTGAGAAGTATACATACATGGCCTCAGTCCTGCAAATGTTTAACTTCACACATTTTTGTAGTCCCATTAAAGTCAGTGAAAATTAAGTATGTGAATAAAAGTTTACAGGACTGAGGCCATAGTTGGACATTTTATGGAAGAGAATGGCATCCTTCCTAAAGGTTTATCTCAGGGCTTGGAAACAGCTGATACATGCCTATACACTATTCCAGAACCTTTCTGAAGATATTATCATGTTCCCCAGAATCTCAGCTTTTCATTTAAAAATAAAGCAGTCTCTAGTTGTGGTGGTGAAGAAAACCTGAAATACGTGAATTAAGTGTAACTGAGTTGCAGAGATGAACAGAGAGCCTGGAACAATAGCTCTGAAAGGTGTGAACTGCCCCATTCATCTTGGTGAGGTGTTAACTCTGATGCCCACTGCTGACCATCCAAATGTCACCATTGTTAACTATTTCATCCCTCATGTAAAAAAAGAGAGGAAGAATCACAGACTTACACATTTTACTATGAATGGTGTCTCAATTTCATGCCACAAATGGGCGATGTGTGATATATGTAAAGATGATTATTTTTCACCAGTCAAGGAACCTAGGAGAGCCTATAGACATATACAAGACCCACCACTGAGTGGGAACCAAGCTCAGAGAGCTGCACAGTCATATTTTAAACACGTGCCCAATCTATTGTGAATGGCATCGCATTTTGACAACTCAAATGGGTGGAGGGTATTATGTGGGTGGCTTTTGGAACAGTAACACCACTGTTTTATTTCTACTCTGATCTCTGGTTAATACTTCTAGAGCAGAAATTGTTGTTGTTCATTAGGGACTTGATCCAGCTCTTATTGAAGTCAAATGCAGTTTTTTCAATGGGAGCTAGAGGAGGCCCTAGGTGAGACACTTAACAAAAGAAAGAATGAAATGCCAAAAAGCAAGTTTATGAAAAACAATTATATTATTGGGTGCAACACTCTGCATAGTTATGTCTTACAAGGGACAGAAAATACAGTCAAAGTGCATTTACAAGGGGGAAGTCATCTGAGTTCATATATTTGTCTACAAGCCTGAAAATAACATAAGATGCACAGTAAGATACTGGAGGTGATTTCTGCTAACTGGAGAGGTTTCTGTTTATTTCACACAGCAAGTGGTGGAGAGATCACAAGAGAGCTGTACCCCATAGGTGTTTTATAAAGCACAAGATGCAGCCAAATGCCTTTAATCCTCTCTGTTAATGGAGTTATCTGACCTCTGGAGATAGGAATGGAATAATGCGCTCACAAGACCACCTAAAGAGACCATGAAAAATATGTTGCTTTATTATCCTGGTTAATTAGGCTGTGGAAAGTGGATGTTGAATGTTGTGTCAAAAGAAGAGGATGCTGGCAATTTGCACAGTAAATTACTGCTTCTGTAAACTGTGCCATCCAGATGGATGGTCCCCCTATACTACAGAATCATCATCAGCCAAGCAAAACATGCCCCCTAAGCGAAGTAGTTGGGTATCACTCCTTTTAAAAGGATCCTCAACAAATTACACATTAATTCATGGAGAACATTCAGCTTTCATAAGGTAGCTAAGATCACTATTGTCTACACTTGAAACACTACAGCGGCACAACTGCACTGCTGGAGTGCTTCAGTGTAGACACTATCTATGCCGAGAGGAGGGGTTCTCCCACTGGTGTAGGTAAGCCACCTCCCCAAGAGGTGGTAGCCTGGTCAACAGAAGAATTTTTCCATTCACCTAGCACTGTCTACACCGGAGGTTATGTCGGCTTAACTACGTCACTCAGTTGTGTGAATTTTTCACATTCCTGAGCTATGTAGCTATGGCAATGTAAGTTCCCAGTGTAGATCAGCCCTATTCAATGTCCACTTGGGACACATTCTGAGAGTCTGAATTCATTGCTGAACCAAAATAAAGGTTGAGACTGGTTTTAACATTAAGCAAAAATGTGTATAAGAAAAAAATCCATTGAGTGATATTAATTCCATTCCAGTAGGCTAATATAGTCATTGGCGCATTGTTAGGTTTTATTATCCTACAGTAGCACTGAATAACCTATTGTGGTGTAGATGAATAATAATTTTGTGGCACACATGAATATTCTAAATGATCCAGTTTACAATAACTTAGTAAGGAAATCGATCCTGCCTATAGCTAACTCCTGAGAAATTATTCAGGAAAAACAGTGAAGGAAGAGCAATTGTATTTCATAGAAAGGTTCAGATGTTGTAATTTTGCATTATAATGAAGTGGATTCTAAGCCAGTTCAAAAATGGGTCAAGCAGTCTCATCATCCAAGACAGAAAATTTGGTGGTTTCATTTCAAATAACTGCAGGACAAGCAGATAAAATTATTGCAAGGTTACAATACTGAGCAAAGCTTGGTTTGTTTTTTGTTTTTGTTTTGTTTTATTTTCCTAAACACTTAAAACTTTCAGTGAGGCAATGCTTGAAATTTTCATGTCAGATCCTGCAGGCATTAGTATATGCTCAAAACGTACTGCACTGCACTAGAGGTGAGATGCATTATTTATCCCAGTCAAGAGTAGAGAAGCTTACAACCTAAAGAATGCATGAGTAATTTTGTACCTTCAGCTCCATCAGTCTGGAAGAAAAGTTTTAGGTGTACACTTGCATAGGCAGAGAGCAACTAGACAGTGACCTGGCCTCAGTTATTCATGTCTTTGTCACCACTCAGCTGGACTACAGCTGGAAGTTGAAGCTAAGTAGATGAATTCAGAATGGAAATAAGGTGTAAAATTTTAACAGTAAGAGTAATTAACCATTGGAACAATTTACCAAGAATTGTGCTGGATTCTCCATCACTGACAATTTTTAAACCAAGACTGGATGTTTTTCTAAAAAGATATATGCTTCATATAAGGTCAGACCAGATGATTACGATGGTCCCTTCTGGCCTTGAAATTTATTAATCTATAAATACTAACAGTTACATTTTGAGGCAGTCTTTCCTGGCACCATTTCCACAGTCGCTCTACTTTTCTTCGTTTCCAATGATTGCCACTTGAAAATGAAGGAACATAAATCCACGCCGTGTAGAGGTCAAGCATAGGAGTTTATTACACACAGTGCTGGCAGAGTGTCACCTTGCTTATTAGGCTCAGAGACACTGTCAATCAATTGATTACAATAGAATATATAGATTTTCCATGGGCGGGGGAAAGTGACAGGGTAGGCAGTTCCACACCCCAGGATAGGTTTTGCAGCAAGACAAGATAGCACATTAGCCAATGGTTAACAGGTTACATAATGTCTCCGCCCATGGTCTCAAGTTAGCAAGTTAATATTTGTGACAAAGTTCCTCCTCTATCTTGGTGGGTCCTGCGCTTATTGGCAGATTTTCTTGCCTCAGAGATTCACCATGTGGGTTGGGGAACAGCCTAGAGACCTTCCCCTCTGGAAGAACCCACAGTCCAGGTCAATTGGGAGGTTTGGGGGGAACTCGGGCCCGCCCTCTACTCCGGGTTCCAGCCCAGGGCCCTGTGGACTGGACTGCAGCTGTCTATAGGCCTCCTGTAACAGCTGCATGACAGCTACAACTCCCTGGGCTACTTCCCCATGGCCTCCTCCAAACACCTTCCTTATTCTCACCACAGGACCTTCCTCCTGGTGTCTGATAACGCTTGTGCTCCTCAGTCTTCCAGCAGCACACCCTCTCAGCTCCTTGCGCCTCTTGCTCCCAGCTCCTCACACTCCTTTTAAAACCCAGGTGCCCTGATTAGCCTGCCTTAATTGATTCTAGCAGCTTCTTCTTAATTGGCTCCAGGTGTCCTAATTAGCCTGCCTGCCTTAACTGGTTCTAGCAGGTTCCTGATTACTCTAGTGCAGCCCCTGCTCTGGTCACTCAGGGAACAGAAAACTACTCATCCAGTGACCAGTATATTTGCCCTCTACCAGACTCCTGTACCCCACTGGTCTGGGTCTGTCACACATTTAATTAATACTTTGATAAAATGTTATTAGTATAAAATATATATGTTGAATTCTGATTTGGGGTCCATAGGAATGAAGCAACTCCTTTGATTGTCCAACAGGTACATTCCTAGGGGTTAAAACAAAGAAACGGTGAAAGTATATGACAATAAAGATTGTCTCCTTTGTGTTTTAAGGCAGGCATTGGTCCCTGGGAAAGGGAGGTGGGAGGAGGCCATATTTTATACTGACATGTGCCAACCTTTCATAAACTCAAGGTTGGATATGTGGGGACAACATCTCCCTACAAACCCTTCAAAACAGTCACTGCTTAACTATCCA